ATTGCATCAATTCAATCGAAATTCAATCGAATCGACTAAAATTTTTTTATAATATTCTTGCTTATATAGTTTTATATAATTGTATAATTATTATTATATTACTATTACATTACTATTACATAATATGTAGTCTTGATTTAAGACTATATAATTTTTTTTCATGTATATACTGTTTACGGGAACATTTCTATCCTTCGAAAACGAACGGACAGAGGTGGTATATGCGTATTTCGTCCTGTCTGTGCTGTAGGCGGGGGTGAACGCAGTTTGCCCACTCGCCTTGGTACAGGTGCCTCCATTGATCGAATCGGGGGAGGCAGCGACCGCCAGTTACGATAAACCAACGAGCGAGAGAGAGGGGTAAAAGCCACGGCCATTCGACCGAGACGAGAGAATGGCGCGCAAGATTCACCCCGGACCTCATCATCATTGGTCGGCGTCCATGCGGGATTGTTAGCACGAGATTCGTCAGCCCTTCTGAATTAACACAGACGCGGAATACTCGTGTGCGATACGTACACGTAGACGCTTTTGGGCGTCTATGGAGGATTGGCCCTCCTCCGGAAGAGAAAAAGAAAATATCACGAAAAAATACGTCTGCGATAAATTTTACAGGGATAAATACTTCTGCGATCTTAAACTACGTACAGCAAATTTTTAATAATTTTTGTTTATGATGAATATGATTTTCGATTCAAGTCGCGTGATTTGGGGTTGATTTTGTTACCAGATGAAAAGCGTTTCGTAAAGAGATCTTGCTGAAGAAACTCTTTCGACTCCAACATTCATTGTGTGGCTGAATCAATACTATATATTAAACGATTAAATATATTATAGGCTGCGTTCCATTTAACATTTGCAACCCTCGTTCCTCGTTTGTTCTCTCGTTTAATATTTGGCAAACAACAAAGATGAAATGATTCTGAAAGCTTTGCGAACATTAAGTGGAACGTAACCGGAAAACTTCATATATGAAGCTAAAGGAAGGAAGAGTCTGAATAGATCAAATACTAGAGATAATCTTCAGGAAGAATCTTTAGATTTTGGTGCAGGGGGTGGCGAAAGTTCGAGAAGAAGATTTGGACGGACGCCATCGCCACCCGGAGGACCTCCCATCGGCTACATCGCCCCGGTGGAAGTATCTGCGCGGCCGATCAATAATCTCCTGGGAACATCCGTTCCCCTTGGTCTGCCTTGGTCTGCCCTGCCGGGTTACCCCCCCGGCCTGGAGGTGGTGGTAGCGGAGCAGCAGCACTCAGCCAGTATCAACAACCGGCGGCAACAAGCACCTGTCCGTGCGCGCGCGCGCGCGCGCGCGGACGAGCGTCAGGTCGTGAGTCACTACCACCTTTTCGTGGTTGCAAACGCATTTGCGCGTTTATCTACAGCCGCGAGCTCTCGCAAAGCGATGTATTACGTGCAACAACGTAACATTGTGCGCCATGTAAAAGGACATAACGAGACCTAATGAGTATAGCTATCGCTATCTGTGCCCGAATCGATTTAGACGTTATTGCGAGACTGATCCATTTCCGCCGACGCTCCCCCCGCGCTCGATTACGTCCCCGCGATTATAGTCGCCTTCCCCCCCCCCTCCCGCCGCGAGCGTAATGCGTAATAAAATCGATGAATTTCGAAAGAAAAGAGCGGGCGGTAGAGAATAATAGCGGGCGAATGCTCCTGTCGCAAGCTCCTGTAACGCCTTTTGTAACGATTCGTACGAGATTTTTTTCAGATTTTGGAAATTCAGCGTTCCATCCCCCTTGGCCACGATCGTCCCTTTGCGATCGTTGTAATTTTGCAAGAAAAAGGGGATGTGCGTCGCGCGCGCGATGCAACCGCAGGGGCGAGCGCGAGGGTGCGCGAGCGTCTCCTTGAGAGACACTCGTAAGGAGTGTCAGGGGCTGCTCGGGCACGGCGTGTCCTCTTGAGAAATAGTAACGGGTCATCGCGATAAGACTGATGTGGACGTATTTCAGTGGGCAATTTAAAAGACCGGATAATACACGGAGGTTACGGATATAGACTCCGACGCGGACGCGAGCCGGAGTTCCGGGAGGGCGGAGGCGCTCGCATCAAATATTCAAAAGAATTGATTCCGAGGCGAATGCAGCAGCAGCAGTAGCAGACACAATCTACATCGCCGCGGCTATTGCGGCGATAATGATGTCCACGTAAAACGAAATCCTATAATCGGATAAGCGATCTCTTTAGATCGAGGGTGGATCGAGAATGGAAAAAGGAAAGAGAAAAATATCAGCGATGCTGCTGCCGCATTTTAAAAATATCGTATCGTCGTCGAAAGAGATTTTCGATGTTGAAAAAAATTTTTTCAAGATCTTTTTCCTGGTTTCTGTTAACTTTCAGAATTTGTTTTCATACGTTACGTTAAAACTTATTGGAGAATTTTCACGACGTAACTTGTCACGTTAGATTTTAATTTTATATTTAACCATTTGAAGAAATGTAACGTTTGAGGAAATATAGGAGTGTATACTCACCAAATTCAGCTCAATCCGAATTAATTCGAGGGCCTCTTTGCCGATCGCCACCGACGAGGATGGAATGATAGAAAATTGTCAAGCGATAGTCAGCCCTCGCATCACTTTGGAGATATCGTCCATGGATGGTTCCACTGTTCTCGTCGAAATCGATATTTTAGTATCGCGCAATTCTCACGTGCATTTTAAATTACGATGCAATTCTGCAATTTGTCAGGATCACGCGTAGGCGATAAATTATTAGAAATTAAATTATCTTTATCCGATCGATTACAATTTTGTAATAACGAGCAGCGAGCAGCTACGATCGCGCTATCTTTTACGAGAATTCCATTTTAGCGAATTAGTCGTCAGTCGCGATGGTTCTGTCAGAACTGGCGACTGTCACTGCGGAGCACTAGCACCGTCAACTATCACCATAGCACCATTGTACCGCCATCTTCTTACCTGACAAACGGTACCACTACGACAGGTAACGACAGGTGCGCTCGCCAGGATTATCGATTATAGTCATTACTTGCTCCTGCGAAGCTTGCTCTCGCGCGGAAGATGTGACAAGATAATTCAACCAGCATAAATGTAAATGTAACAACCATTTGCGAGACAAGTATTCTTCTCCATTTTATCACTCTATGCGAAACAATCTCGTTACGAGAGAAGAGTTTGCGAAAAGTTATCGGCGTGTTGCTGAACTGTAATTTTTTTTATTAAATCGTTTCGAGATTATTTTTAAAAACGATTCAATCACAGAAATGAGGGAAATATATAAATAATTAATTTTTCTAATGTTGACAACGGCAAAATTACACCTGGACCCGCAGCTTTTAAACCATGCCGGTAGAACCTACCGCCTCGCGGATGATAAGAGGAAGTTCGTTAGTCATAAGGAATCAGCGAAACATGAAAACTTGGTACGAGCTGGGAAGTTTAGATAGGAAGAGATATACGAAAGAACTGCGAGTGTCAATGATTTATTTCCTGTATGATTACATTACAGCACTCCTAACATTTGATACTCGTATTTAAATCTGTGATCCTATGAAAATCATCAAAAACGACCAATACGGATATTCTCGGTACCATCTTGGCGACTAATTCACCAAATATTCTTATAACGCTTTTTACAAAAGATCGCGGAAATCAAGATTTTGGGCAAGATATAATTATGCGTATATACAAAATGGACTGTAATTCATGACGCAATCAAAGAGAGAATAAATCATTTATGTAAAAGTAAATCGAAGAAAATAATATATTTTAACAAGATGTTTCAAAAAAAAAAATCAAATTTGTAAGATTGTCAAATACATATTCGTTTATTTCGATAATAACTGGCAGTTCTGGGAAATTGTTCTTTGTAAAATTTTGTGACAGAAACATTGCCATCACGAGTTTCCAATAAACAACGTCTCTCTATACATTATTTCGATTATACTGTAATTCGCGATGCGAATGAAATTCAAGCAGAATTAATAAATGTAAAAAATAAATAGTCAATATTTACAAATACAGTACAAATGGGAATAACAATAAGGAGATACTTGACAAATTAAAGTTAAATCTGGTTTTCTCGGAAGTAGTACTTTGGATGTGCAAGAATGTTACATGTACTTTAAATTTACATTTACACAAAGAATCATTTCTTTTCTATTTGTACCATAAATTACGATCCATTTTACAGATACAGATATATATCTGTGTACATATGTGCATACGCATATGTATGATCTGCTGGAAATTTATTGGACAAGTCGCGCTGTTGTAAGAATTACACGAACCGGAGAATCCTGTGGGAGCGCGACGTATATCTAGGATTGTATTGAACGAGACAGAGGCAAGAGAAGATGACGGAACGAGAGGAGAAAAAGATGTACACGCGCGTACCAATCGTTTGATATTTCGCGGCCAGCCCGCTGACGCACATCTCACTGCTCGCTCTATTGCGTATACGGTCATATTCCACAAGAATACAAATTCTAAGTGAGCCGATGACGAAAATTATCGTCAGTTTCGCTGTCTACGCTAGATCGTTGGGAGTGCGATAATACCATTCATAGATGGTATTTAGAGGGTGAAAGTTTGAAGAAGACTGCAAAAACCCCGAGGTACTGTGACGTATGACATGCTGTGCTGCTGCCCTACCATTTCACAATTTTTATGGTTGATTGGTAGTGAACGGTGTCACTCCGTTATTAGCCATATTGTCCAGAACACCACTGATGTATGCCGCGACGTCGATCGTCGCTTCCTCAGCTCGTCTGATGAACGGATGTTCCAGCAATTTATTGTACTTGGGTCGCTGCGTCTCCTCTTTAATTAAGCTTGACAAAAAAACCAATATAGACAATTTTAATACTATAGAAATAGTTTTCGTCGTCTCGATAGATAGGAAAATGTAAAAGTATTCTACCATGTATTCACAAAGTTCACAAAGTCCATAGTAAAGTGATTGCCGTTTTCATTGGGAGATAGTCGTGGCGGATCACCTTGCACTACTTGATAAAGTTGTTCAAAGACAGAGTTCCACTTTGGGTATGGAAAATACCCTGTAGCAACCTCCATCAGCGTAATACCTAATGACCATACATCGCTTCGCACGTCATAGCCTCGTGCGCGTTGTGGGTCTATCCTTTCCGGCTAAATAATTATAACAATATTTACGAGGCGCGAATAATTTAATGTTATTCAATTTCACAGGTTGTGAAACTTACAGCCATATATGGCCTACAACCAGCGTCCCGAGTTCTCGCGATTGAGTCCACAAGCTGGCCAGATATACCAAAGTCACATAATTTTATATTACCTCGACGATCCAATAAAATATTACTAGGTTTCACATCCCTGTGAATTATTCTTAACTTTTCTTTGAGGTAATTCAGTGCTTTCACAGTGGCTACTGTTATTTTGCCTAGAATACATTCCGGTATCCTCTCGTTTAATCTCTCATAAATGAACTTGTAAAACTTATCTAATGACGTGTCCATAAGTTCCATGCAAATCCAACAATCTCCCTGCACGTGAAAGGATAAAATATTGTAATTGCCTTGATCATCAATATATGACTAGCATCGAGTTATATATACCTCTTTAAATAACGCCCCATAAAATTGCACAATACACGGGCATTCATTCGATTTCATCACAACTTCTAAATCCATTAACAGTTGCTTTTGTTCTCTTTCGTCCACAGTAGAGCGAATTCTCTGAAATAAAATTAAAATTGCTTTTATCATACTTATTGCAATTTGAACTAAGAATTATAGAAATATTCAAAATGAGAATTGATTATTTACTTTCACAGCCATAACGGTATTGCTTATCCTATGAATCATTTTATTTACAGTTCCAAATCCTCCTCTTCCTATTTCTCCAAGATCTTGAAGATCTTCGCTTGTGAAATCGTATATTACGTCTGTAGATAATTGCAATTTACCAGTAGTCTGCATAGACTGGCACATTCGTAGTTTGTCTCTACAATAAGCCCCATTGTAATTTATCTCAAAAGATACATCTTCTCTTTGTTTCTAATTCCATACCTTGCCTTATCGGGAATAAATTCTTGCTGCTGTAACATCGTGCGAGGTCTGACTGGCAGCTTAGGTAGAGATAAAGGCAGACTTGGGCGGGAGGATCTATTATCACAAATGAAAAAGTTAATCTTGTTATGTAAGAATGACAAACACCTCTATAAAATTATCTTATTTGCTAAAGTCTCACATTGATGGACATGCCGTGGCTCCTGTTGAATTCGACAATGAGGAATTTGTGGAATTGGCAAATGATAAATTATTGCCTTGCGTTTGGAAACTAAGTTTCAACTGTCTTCGCCTCTCTGTAATAAAATGCGGGATAATGAGAGAATCATTTTGATGTCCCCAATGCCGAAGATTCATTTCTCTCTTAGAAAGATTGCACATCCTCGAACGTACCTGACATCTCGTTCTGAACGTCATTGTTTGTTCGAAAATCCATTCGTGGAAAGTTGAAAGACCTGGCGGAACCTGCAACGCAATCGCGTCGGGATGCGATTAGAAGATAACGTGGGAACTTCGGGAGCAAGTGTCACGCGTCACTCGGAGCGGAACAGCAGAAGCTGATATCCGCGCGTCGCGAGACTCGTGCCATCGCGGGGCTAGGTTAGGTTTTCCATGATCGTTCGGTAAACGGCATCGCGTGCGCGAGAGCGACGACAACATACCTTGGCCGGTCTGGCCCGACGAGTTGCCCTGATTCTCCGCCATTCTGGGTCCGGCTAGGAACGCCGGCTAGGAGCGCTTCGCGTTTTCGCGGCGCCCGCACGGAACTGTCTTGTCAAAGGTGCTCCCCTTAGGAGACCTTCTCGCAAGATCTCAACAGCCTGGCATATGCGTTACGCGGCAGTCGCACCATTTGTGCGGTCTCGTACGATTCGGAAGCGGCACGGTAATCTCGCCTCTCGCGTTAGCACCCCGAGTCGACAAACGTATCGCCGAGCCGCGCTCTAACCCCCGATAATCCTCGCGAGATCACACCGTAAACCACCCGTTACGAGCACTCGACCGCACTCTGGACCGCGCACCGCTCTACGGCACACGATATATGTATGTGTATATACGCAATCTGTATATGTACATACATTTGCAGTCGCAGTATGTGTACAAGGCTTAAGAGTTTCCATACCAAAAAAATTTAGGTAATAAGAAAATTAACCAATCACATTCGATTATTCTTCTTACGGTCGAAGAATAATCGTCTGTAACTCGTCAATTTTCTCACTGCTTATATCTTACTTATTTTAAACTTTATTTGATGCAGGAGTACTTACGACCGGTTTTTATAAAGTATCAAAGATTTGTTTCTGCATCTTAATGTTCATTACCATTAACACAAATTAACTTTATTAACACAAATTAACACAATTAACTAAGATTAATTAATTAATTAAAGTTAATTAATTTTTTTTCTAATTCTTAAAATAAAATAAAAAGTAAATTAAATCGAGTTAAAATTAATTTACATTAGTGAAAATGGATATAAAAGTGAAAATATATATCTATTTCATTTCAAGTACAATAAATATATACATTTATTTAGTTACAAAATGCAGATCGCAAATTGGACAATTTTCTCGCAAATTTGGGATTTCTCGTTCTCTCTTCAAAGATTTTTAAAAAAGTGAAAATTTTGATACTTTTAGATAGAAAATATAAAAATAAATATATTTGAAAATTAATTTCAATTCACTTTTATATGAAAAATTGATAAAAAGTAATATGGAGTCATCAAGTTGGTACACAGTGTAATTAAGTGTAGACGGTGTAGATGTAAAGTATAATAAATGTGTGGTTAAGATTTGAGATCCTTATAAATAATTGAAATTAGAAAAATGATTAATTCGCGTTTATTTATCTCGATTACAAATTTATTAAGCAATTATGGATTGGCGAGGTATAATAGTGAAAGATTTTGAAGAAACTAGGATCAACTTTTTTTTTATAACAATTCTTTTTAAGTGTTTTATAATTTTTATATATTTATGGAAACAATTGCAATTTTCAGAAATTACTTGGCGAGTCTTAAAAGGGGATACAGTGTTTTCCCACCTATTTATATTAAACCAATATTTAAGAAAGATGAACAAGAAGCGCTGTTTCAAAGCGATGAAGCGAAAAAGATTAAACATGAACTAGTGAAACCAGCTTTAGCCACTGACACATGTTCTGATTTCTACGATGAAAGAGTGCTGTGAGAAACTGCTCCAATTTTCTCAGTTTTCTTTAGTGCAGATTCTTATAATATTTTATAATTTAGCTATTGTGTCTAGGAAATTTATTAATACTCTTATGAAGGATGGAAATAAGAAATTGGCAAAAGCATTGGTAACTAAAACTTTTGAAGGTATCAAAAGAATACAATTGGAACGTTATCATAAAGCAACAACGAGCGAGGCGAAGGCTAACATTGAGTTGAATCCATTTGTAATTTTTCATCATGCTGTGGATAATTGTACACCTATCTTAAAATTATTGGCACATAGGAAAGGAGGAATTACTTATCAGGCAACATATTATTAAATATATTGACAATACGATCATAGATAAGATATTTAAAATGGGTCTTTTCAGGTTCCTGTTCCAATTTCACCTGGTCTAGCACAGCACATGTCCATGTTGTGGTTAATTAAAGCTGCAAATGAGAAAAACTCTCACAAATTGAGATTTTATGATGTATTAGCTAAGGAATTTGTAGCAGCTTCTCAGAATCAGGTTTATATATTTATCATAAAAATATTGTTTCTATATTATATATAGTATATCATATACAAATATGTATATATATATTACAATCATTTTAGGGTCGTGCGGTTGCATGGAAGCAAGAATTACACAAGAAATGTCAAGCTAATCGGGCATATGCACACTTTAGATGGATATAAATAAGATGTTAATTTTACATGTATAAATAAAATGATCTTAAAATGTAACGACATAATTCACAAGAAAACTGTTAAACCATTCCTAAAACGTATGTAAAATTGTTAATATCAGTTATCTGTCCTATCTTCGTGTTTATCTTCAATTTCTTCTTTTGCGAAGATATTGTTACTTTTCTATACAGAGGATCAGTGATACTTCTCGGGTTCTCTGATAGGGGAGTAATTTCATTGACAGGAACCATCAAGTCTATCCTCTTCCCCCAGTAATCTGTATAAGACAGTATTACTTTTTGTTCGTCTGCTTTGAAGTATATATATCCTATAAGGCGGTTGCAAAAAATTCCAAGAGTATGCAGCCATATTACCATTAGAATTCCTATAAATATATAAGGAAAGGAAAAGATAAGAATCATAATTATTTATATATTTTAAATAGAAATTTAAAATGGATTTATAAGAATTTTACCAGCTAATAATAAACTAATACTTGTCTCGAAAGATAGGATATTGGTGTATTTAAGGCCAATGAGCACAGGTGCGGCTACTCCACTGAGTACAGTGAACCGGTTTTTTACGACGTTTAAAGCACAAACTTGTTTGATAGAAGGAAATATATAAATCACTTTATAATCAGGAAATTTCGTGGAGTTAACCTCAGGTAAATTTTTCTCGTCCTTATTAGCAGCATTACTGAGTCTTTTAACATCCAATCTAATGCAATTCGAAGCACGATATAAAGATCGTTCGCAAAGATTCAATAAGAGCCGAGGATACATTGGAGGCTATGTCATAAAATATACGAACAGAATTTTGATTATTGCAAATATCATCGAAAAGATATGCAAAACTAAAAGAGAACGTTCAAATCTAATTTTCTTATCAACACTATATTATATTGCATTCACAATAGCATGAGTATTTACATGTTCGAGTATGTTTCGAATGAAAATGAAAGATGATAAAGAGGATTGCAAGACGGTACAGAAGGTGCAGTTAAAATGAACAAGTATAGTAACAAGTAAAAAATATCAAATTATTTCTCTGTCATATAATTTTCTTTTTTATTAATTTATTAAAAATACAAAGTTCTTTTTTTCTCTTACATTTCTAATTGTCATTAGTACGTAGTATAATACTCTTTCTTCCAATTGTAATTTTATAAATTTGTGTATTTTCATACGTAGAACATATTCTGACAAAAAAATAATCGCTCAAGTCCGCTTTTTTTTAATTTCAAAATTTTTTAAATATTTGGATTTCAAGCCGTAAAAAGAATGAAAAAGATATAAATTTTGAATCACAAACTATTCTCTGCTATAATTAAATTTAAATTATATAAGAAAATAATTTGTATTTTTAATTAATTAAAGCAGAGATAAATATGCTATAAATTATCATTAAATTATCATTTTCTAATTTACCAACATCAAAAACTGAAAGTAAAAAAAAAAATGACACTTGTACGATTATTTTCCTTCTCCAGTAAAATACGCGAATTTACAAAATTACAGGAAAATTACAGGAAAAGGAAAGAGAGTTATACTGCATATCTATCTTACTATTTTAAACTACTATTCTAAACGCAAAAAGTATAGCAAGGTATAAATTTCTTCACTGCATCTTCTCCAGCGATTGGCAGATCAGCAGTCGGTCTTGGAACTTGGTTGGTTCATCAGAGGAGAGGCGAGAGGAAGAATCGTGACACATGACGCCCCTAGGTGGCAGAGACCCGAAGATAGGAAAGAATGGCTAGGAGAGCGAGAAGGGGAGCCCGCGATTGGCGCGCATGCGTGGTAATTCTCGCTGTCGGACTGGCATCACTGGTCGGATTGGTATCCCACTGTCCCGGACGCTCCATGTCCGTTAGCCATGTTTTACGGTCAAATACGTTCAGGGTGCTTGTCGTACGAAAATGAGTCTCGCGGGCGTGAGAGCCGATCTGTCGTGTAATCGGTCGCGGCGACGGTAAAGCGGCCCTCCCTCCCTCCCTCCCTCCTTACCACCCCCCTAACCCTCCGCCCCGTGCGAGGGCGACGGCGACGGCGGACGCGGAGTGGCATCAGTGGCATCGGTGGGCATGTGCTCGCACCTTCGACGAGGTATCGCGCGCGTGTGTAACGGCGGTGGTCGTCCTCGGTGGAGGCGGTGGTGATCGGTGGCGATCTCGGCCCTCGGGGCCCTTACTCTCAGCGGCCGCGCGTCGGAGTCTGTGCGTGTGACAGACCTGCTGTTCCCGACCCAATGGAGCCGCGTCCTCTCGCCGTCCTGCTGATTTTGTTGTTGACAGCGCTCGCTGGACGAGGTGAGTCTCTCTCTCTCTCC